ATATATATATATTTTTTTAACACATTCATATGTGTATAATAGTTATTTATCAGTCTATTGGATTGATAACCTGATGTACATCTATAACAATTTTGCCGAAACACTGCTTACATTTTTATTATTATCTTGATGAATAAAATTCAATTTCATTGGGTTAATTCGAGTTTTATTTCAATACAATTAAATCTAACAAAACAGTAAATATTTGTTTGTTTGATGTTAAATCTATATGGTGTCTAATAAGGCACATTATAAAAAAATAACTAAATTAATAAGCATATATATATCAATTTTATTAACTAAAAATAATTTTAAAGGATACTACACATATCAACATGGTTTATAAATATTATAATCAAATTAATTAATATAGTAGCATATGACATGTAGTAAATCAGTTTGTGTCTCCTACTAAAATAAAGGAGATTAATATATATGTTTTGATTCAAAATATTATAATTCTGACAAAAGTGCTTATAAATATTGAATACATTATAATGAATGTGAACAAATATTATATTAAAATAAAATGTGTGGAAGATATAACATAGAGATATATATTAACAAAAAAAAAAAAAATTAAATCAAAACTACACAACAAAGCATTCCATTATTAAGGAAAGATTCCATCAATTACAAAACAGTGTTTATATATCATAATGTACATCGATGTTTATTGGTACAATGTTTGTTTTATTCTTTAATTTACTTTTTTTTATAGGGATTATAAATTTACTTTTTAAATATATAATATGCCATTTTGAATTAATTATAGTGCACTTCATAATAATATATTGGTATACAGCTTTTTTTCTCTTTTAATTTTACGTTTATTTTTACACATTAATATTTTACGCACTTTTCTATTAGGTAAACAAAAAAAGACAAAAAAAAAAAAAAATTAAAGATTGCGTTATGCTTATCAACTTATATTATGTTACACACTATGACCAATCATATTATTTGAATAATATTTTACAGTAATTATTCTTACAAATTTTGATATTTTACTATGACACTTAAAATATATCATATTTTATACAAAATCTTGTGGGGCTAATAGTCTTTACTAAAACTTATATTCTGTATTCATACCAAAAATATATTTCGATAAATATTTACTTCATCACTACATTTATCAGTTATTTTATAAATTATATGTATCTATATATATTATTTCCCTTTGCTTATAATAAAAATTATCTTCATAATTATTCAAGCATTATTATTTCATGTGATATTTTTGAATAATTCTCGATAATAATTGTGATTAGCTAAATGAGTCTTGTATAGTATTATATGCCAAATGTAGCTTATACATTTCATCATTTAAATATTTACTTTTCGGATTATATTCAGATAATTCATCATGGTATGTCACACTGTTGCTATAGAAAGGTTTTTTTTTTTTCAGTTTTTTTTTATTGAACCCTGATCCTATGTGTGTAGTCTAATATAAGCATAAGAAAAGATAAATAACATATAATGTATACACATGGTGATTATTCGTTCAACATAAATGAATTTACATATTAAAGGAAAATGTTTATGTGATACGATATAATTTTTAGTTACTCTATAGTAAAAGTATAAAAATAGAGCTGTTCCCACTATTGATACAACCGCAATGATACGACGAAAATAATTTGAGTTCAATGTGTTATATACGTTTCCTATGGTGCTAGTAAAATTACTATCTTCATAAAATGTGTCAAACGTGGTTAAAGTATGTTCTTGTTCATTATCACTATCTGATATAGTGTCTTGTAGTGCAAGTGGACCCACGGGGGTCTCCCTCACCAATGTTTCTACTGTACTGACCTCTGAAACAGTTACTTCGTTTAATCTCTCAAGTTCGCTCTCTAATTTAGGTAAGAGATGCTTTGGATTAAATGTGTCATCACAGTTGAAGTATGATCTGCATTCATCTTCTACGGAACCAGCATAGCAACAACTGTAATCACCACTTTCATCAATATATTTTTCATATAGTCCATTAATATAAGTGATATAATAATAATACTTTTGGCATTTATATTTATTTTTATTCTTACAATCAAAATTTGCATGATTTTTAAAGTAATCATGAAGATCTTTCTCTTCTTTGACATCATATGCTTCAGCTGTATCATAACAGGCACATGGCTTTCCTTTCATTTCTTTTGAATTAATTTCCTTTAATACTTTAAAAAGATTAGAAGCATTAGTTGTACTGCTTATATTTTTCCCACTATTATTAAATTTTCTCCTAATCTGATCATAAAACCAGTGCTGGAAATAATAACAACGATCCTTTCTAGCTGCATCATCCTCTATCGAAGGTAAATGTCTTACAATACTTGTTGCCTTTTGACAAAATTTTAAAGCCTCCTTATCGCTTATATTATATCTCTTACATATACCGTTGTCATTAGTTGTATTTTCAATACTATTAAATTCTTTATATGTGCTGTACCCTGGTAAATCTTGTAATTCATCTTCCTGCATCATAATAGGCAAAAGTAAATTATGTAAATAATTAAAAGAATTTTCTTTATACCATCGTTTTTATTTTTACAAAAACATATAAAATATACGCATAATAAATCTACAGACAATATTTATAATAAAAATTAATTGTACCCATTCTCTTTGTCTTCCATTTTCCATTCTATTTTATTACACACTAATCAAATATATGTAAATTTTGTTGATGATTGGATAATTACAATTAAAATTGGTAATAACAACACATGATACATAAACATATTATATTAATTTATTTATTAAAATAGTAACCTAAAAAACCTTGCATTTGTAATTACATTTTGTTGGTTTAAGTTTAATTTTAACTTGTATGAGGCTGCTATCATCTTATGTTATTGTTATTTTTAATTTTTTTTAAAGAACACAAAAATAGATAATGTGCTAATATGTATAAATAAAATACCAAATCACATATTGCAGTATAAAATGTTGTTTGTTTATAAATATTTCATATGATTCTCTTAAAAATTCTTACTAAATCAAACAGTATTAACATTATAATATATATATATATATATATAGCGTGTATATTAAAATTTTAACGTAGCTATTCTAATTTACTTTTTTATATCTTTTTAATGAAAACACGTTCTCTAATATAATTACATATAATATACTTATTTAGGAGTAATAAATTATTTTTTTTGAGAAACAGTAAAAATAATTTTATTATATCTTTTCTTTTATTAGTTGTGGTGGAATTTTTTTTCTTTCATAATTTTTAAAAATTCATGTACATTATAAACATTAGGAATAGTATCTACATAGAAATATATATTAGTCTGTAATGAGATACTGTTCTAAATGCTATTTCTTGTGTAAAAAAAATATTAACTATTGAAATTTTTTTAATTCTAATTATGTTATTCCGTCTGTAGCTTATATTTCGTTGTGGAAATTTTTTTTTATTACACTGCAATGTAATAAAAATTAGATTAGAATTACTTTCAGACACTGTTATATAATTTCTATAAAATGTGTTTTTCATAATAAATGCAAATTTATGAAAAATATATATTATTTTCATATATATATTGACAATGAAGTTAAATCAAATTATCTTGTTTTTTAATAATACTTTGGAATAATTATATATATATCAGAAATATATTGGTAGCATAATAACACTTAAACTAAAAAAATAACATGAAATGTATATGGAACAATTCATTATTTATGTATAGCAGTGCTTATGTAACAAAAATTATAATTTCACCTTTTAATTGATTGTTGTATGTATTACTTATGGGTTTGTTTCATTTTATAGTTTACACATTTACAAAAATTAATAAATGTTATATAATTTGAATTTTAGAAGTAAAAATATAATAAAATATTTTTAAGAGAGTCCATATTTGTTTACAAATAAATCATGAAGTAAATTATATTTTTACCATATAATGAATATTTTCATGGTGTATCATTAAAAAATAATATTTTAGGCCAATCATCAAAAAAAACATATTTATTATGCAGTTTACTTAGATATTTTTAACAAAAATCTAATATATTTATTGCAAATTTTCCAGTAAAAAATACGCATATCCTAAGAATATTTAAATAATTATGAGCTCTAAATTCTGTTATTATGTTTATCAAATATATTTATTATGAAGTATTTAAAATACTAAAAATCTCATCATCAGCTTCTAATAACCCCCACGAATTAGAAGGGTATGTAAAAATTATTTGGTTTGGTGTATTAATGAAACAGCCGAAAGCCAATGTTAATAAGCCATGCTGTGCATAAAAGTTAATTTCTTATTCTGCTTATCTAACAATTTAATATATACTAATACACATTTTTAAGATGTCCAGGGAATACTAGTGGATTCAAATATTTTTCGTAAAATATAAATATTTTAAGAAAAAAAAAGCATGGGACTTAAAAAGACATATATAACTCTAATGGTTTTATAATATGTTATATATATATTCATGCTTTTCGCTTTTAATTAATTTCAAATACAAGACATTTGAATTTTTGTTAAACTTTTGCTCTGCGTAATGAAAAATATCATCCTTATGAAAATTATAATTTGTTATTAAGGCGAGGTGAACTAACATAAAACCAGGTAATGAAGAAAAATAAGAGCAATATAATTTTTTTTTCATATATTTTGCTTTATAGGTTATATAAATTCTTAATAAATATTAAATTTCTTTTTCTACTTGTGTGTATGGAATTTGTCTTTTAATTTTATTCGTAAAATTATTTTATAAGTATACATCCCAACACCTTACCAATGTTAGCACGTATAATATCTTTTTACAAGAATTTTGTTCCTGTAATAGTTGGATATAATTGCGTCATAAAGAGTGTTGTGTGTACAAATAAGGTAATAAAGACAGTTATTTCATTCAATATTTTATGAAAAAATTGGGGATAGCCATAAATTATTAATGTTGTAAAATCATATAACGTAATAATTGTAAATACTATATTCATATGTATAAAATAAAATTTAAAAATTTTTATTATACTGAGTATAATTTGTCTTTTATATAATGATTAAAAAAACATTTTTACCGTGTTAAAAATACAAAAATTGCTGATCATTTTTTATGATTAAAACTTAATCTTAATTTATACACAAATATTCAATGTTCCAAAGAAATCATCATGGTAAAATTGTTTTCCTGGAATGTTTGCTTTTTTACATTTATATTTAGAAAAAGTATGAAACTTATATATTAGTTGTTTTTATGTAAGAGGAAAAAAACACTCTACACTATATCATGATATTTTTTTCACGTTAAAAAATTCGCACGAATTTTCAACCATAAATGATGTAATTAAAACAAATGTGTTATGAATAGATCAATGGCTTGTAGCAATAGATCATTTATACTATATGTATAGCATTTTGTTTTAAAGATAAATACTAATTATTTATATTTGGATTTTTTTACGACTAATACTAGTATATTTTATTGTATTGTACACTACAACAATTTTTAATAATAGTTTTGTGTGATTTAGTGACAACACTGATTATCATTTGATTATCGAGAAAAGATTAGATATAGATTAGCTACTATTTTTTTTTGGTAAGAACGCACATTTCTAATGGGAAACATTTATAAAAAGAGTTAATTATATAATCATTAAAAAATGATATTTTTTTATTATATAAAACATTAATGTAATTAATTAGAATTTGTATTAACATAGGAATGATGAGAGAACTATTCACAAGAAATATTATGTTTCATTTCAGTTCTTTAGTTTTATAAATTTAATTTTATATTATTCATAATTTGAATGCTCTTGTCACCTAATGTTAATAAAATTGTTTTAACATATTTATATGGAAATATCTTCCAGTGTAATGAATTGAGAAGTATTTATATATATATTAAAATCAATAGAATGGAATCCATGAAATAACGACGTATTATATTTTGTTATATTTTTAGTATATATATTCATATGAAAACAACATTCTTTATTCTGTTTCGATTGTATATTTCACTATTCAAAGGGATACGGAAAAACTAATATATTCTTTTATGTTATGTTCTTATTAAAATAAATGTTTGTAGCTGTTAACTTAAAAATTATGCTTATACTTTGACTCATTAAATATTCATCAATAAATCTCATTTTAAAGTATGTACTCCTTATGCTATATTTGTCCTCACAGTATTATTTTTTCAAATATATAAAAAAAATTTAGAGTACAAAAAAAATGGCTATATTGTTAAGTGAGCATGTAAGTATAATATATATGATAATATGAATTATTTTTCTAATGTATATCTACGAGTTATAAAAATTAATTACAATTTTGTTAATTTTTTATGTAATTAAGTACTCTATGAAGAATTAACTTAAATGCGTTTATCTATAGTCCATATCCTAATTTCTTATTTTCCTTGTTAAGGCCTGATACAAATCCTGTGATTATTATAGTTATATATTACACAAAAAACGGGTGAAAAAGGGACGAATTATATAATAAAACAATATATTTTGTAAAAAAATGGATGAGATTGATAGTAAGGGTTACATTGAAATATATTTTTTATATCATTGTGATGAATTTTTTTAATTCTAAGCCAGGATATCAATGCATATATATACGTAATCCATTGATTATTCCAAATATTGTAATGCAGATTATTGGAGAATTTATCAAAATAATTTCTATATTAAGACTGTAAAGTATAACTTTTTAAATTTGTGGTAACGTACTAATTAATCTACAGGAAAATTTAACATTAAGTCAGGGTGTCTCACCATTCCAAAAGTTTTACTAAATGAGTAATATAATGAAAACAATGTCACTGACTCTGAATCATGAACATAGTGAGTTCAAGGTATGTATAATTTTTCTTGATGCACATTTGGTGCACTATTAAATAACCAAGAAAGCTATAATGCTTAATTATTATTATTTTTTATAATTTTTTATAAGTATATTTGTATTAATGATGAAAGAAAAATATTGAACTTTTGCAAATATAAATCCAATTATACATAAATATATATTTTATTACATTTAATATTCTAATTTATAAGAATTTATTTTGTTATATTAGATCATTCTCTTAAAAGATTAATGTATCATATGCATTTCTACTATGGGATGATGAAAATATAATATATATTAAATTATTATTATTTATTAAAGAACTCTTCCATGTTATGATAAAAAAAAGCTGAAATATTGCATAATATATTTGAAATGTTCAATTATCTAAACACCTAAAGAATATTGCAGTTTGTATAAAAATGTAGTAGGTAGTTGAGTGATGATTTATCATTTTAAAGGTAAAGTACCAAACAATTATTTAAAGAAAAAGTAACATAATGTCAAATTTTAGGTTCATGGAAATTATCAAGAGCAATTTTTTTGTATAATTATAATTACAGTTATAGTATTTCAAGTATAATGCAAATAATACTAGGGACTCTGTTAATATTGTGTTTGAAGTCATTCCCTACACAAGAGGTTCAAAAGAGTTTTATTCAAAAACACATAATATAAAAAAGTATTTTTTTAATATTATTAACAATTAATCACTTTAATATTCACAAGCATTATTAATATATATATTTTATAAGTTCTTATGTTATTCCTATTTAAAAATTGAGTAGGCGCGATAGGATTAAAAAA